GCCTCAGCAAGAGGAGGCTGAGGGGGGACCTGGTGGCTGCCTACAAACTCATCAGGGGAGATCAACAGCAAATAGGTAGAGCCCTTTTCTCCCCAGCACCACCTGGGGTGACGAGGAGCAATGGTAATAAGCTGGTGGAGAATAGGTTTAGGTTAGAGATCAGGAGGCAATATTTTACAGTTAGGGTGCCCAAAATCTGGAACCAACTTCCCAGGGGAGTGGTCCTCGCCCCTACCTTGGGCAAATTCAAGAGGTTGGATGATCACCTGTCTGGGGTCTTGTGCACCCAGCATTCATTCCTGCCTGTGGCAGGGGGTCAGGCTAGGTGATCTGTTCAGGTCCCTCCTGACCCTAGCTACTGTGACACTATAAGCACATGCCACTCCAATTGTAACCCCAATTACTGGTGTTTTAGGCCTTGCTTATGCTGGGATTATTCACCAGGTAAGAACTGCTTTCAAAAACCAAATGTATTCTCGGCACCCAACGATCCTTAAGTCCAAATGCATCAACTGGGTGGCGATTTAGAAAGCAGAGGGAGAAAAATCGATGCCCAGAAATATTCTGACTAATGCTGGCACCGTTACGGAACTAGACTAGTTAGTCTTTGTTCTCTTCCAACTCTTCCACCGGGAATACGGCCAGCCTGTTTTCCTCCCTCTTCCTCCTGCTCGCACAATTAATACGGTGCCTACAACTACATTCCTCTCAAACAAACAAACAAGCCCTCCTCTCTGCCCATTTGTACTTTTTAGCTATGCTAGACTAGGTAGCTTTAAAAGCCTCGCACTCCATGAATGGGATTAACAAAGCAAGCTTAGTGGCAAAAGTGCAGAGCTGTCAGTGATTTAAAGCTAGAGCTAGAGATATCACTTTTAAGCTTCAAGGAGCCCGTGGTGGTGAACAGCTCAATTTACAGTGTCAATCAAACTGGCTAACGTTCAAGAGCTTAGATGCTTGAGGGGGGACTTTTTTTGAGGGGGGGATGAGGAGGGGGCTGTAACCTGAAGCACAGCGCCCTCAGATGGGTCTGCGGGACGGACACGAACCCCGTGCAAGCGTAGCTGCTTACTCCCTCCTTAGACCCCTCCCCAGCTCAACAGGCAAAAGCTCCCACTCCAGATTGCTGCAACTTTCCGAGGCTGCCAACAGGACCTGAACCCCGGCAAAGTGCCCCAAACCCCACAATAACCAACACCGCGTGATGACCTGGTCATGAAATTAGCCAGCTCCCGTTAATGAGCATTCTCCGCATGATCAGGAAGGTGGGATGTCTGACCTCCAATGCCAACTACTTCCCAGGCAGCTCCGTCTGCTGCAGCACTGGCACCCCTCTCCGCTCCCCGACAGGATCCATCTCTCCCGCTGCTCAAGAGGCCCCGGGCCGGTGTCCAGCTCAGAGTCTGCGCATGGCACCGGGCCCTGCCATTGTCCCACAAACCCACAGGCAAACGTTTAATTCTTAGGTGGAGAAATCCTGCCACCCAATGTGCAAAGCACGTCTCGGTGCCACGAGGTCTGTTCTGCCAGGGGCCGCCCTGACCTCGCAAGGCTGTCAGGTGCTTCGGAGCCGCCGTCCCAAGGTGAAGACCAGACAGACGGGCCAGAAAAGGGCAGAGGGAAAACGATAAAGAAACTCAGAGGCTGCAAGAGGAGCCGGGGTGAACGGCAGACGGGCCGTGCAGGCTCGCATGGGGGCAGGACAAAGTCCCGGATGAAGCTCATCATACCCAGCAGCAAGAGCACCGAGGCAGCACAGCAGCCGGAGCAGAGGTTACAGCCCAGCCCCAGGCTCAGCGCGCTGCCCTTCGCCCCCTCCCCTTGCTCCAGCCCCGCAGCCCCGTGCCAGGCCGCAGGTGCGCGCAGCACGGCGGGACGGCTCCTCCTGTCCGGCGTGCTCCGCCTGGGCATCGAGGCCCCTCCGGGGGCTGGCTGACCCAGCGCACCAGACGGACTGGCCTGGGCCCAGAGGGAGCAGCTGGGTGAGCCAAGGGCCACCTCCCCAGCAAGGGGACTCCAGAGCCCAGGCCCCCTGCCCCGCGGAGCACGCCCGCACCGCCCGCCCCCCCCGGGGACGAGGCAGGGCAGTACCAGCCCGGCGCAGGTGCTGAGGGAGGCGAAGGAGTCGGTGCGGTTCAGCACGCGGCCCGTGTAGAAGCAGTCGGGCAGCGCCGGGGGGCGGCTGCGGGCCAGGCCGGGCTCGCCCCACTCCTCCACTGCGAAGCCGGGGGCCAGGAAGCGCGGGTCCCGCCGGAGGTGCAAGTAGAGCTCCGAGCCGGAGGTGGGCAGCCGCAGCAGCAGCACGGCCCCCTCCTCCTCCTCCTCCTCCTCGCTCCGGGGCAGGGGCAGGGGCAGGGCACGCGGGCGCCGGAGGCCGCTCTGCCGCGCTTCCCCCGCCGGCTCCAGCAGGTGGATCTTCTCCAGCCCCACGCGCTCGGGGACCGCCACGTCCAGCTCCGCGCCGCCGGCTGCAGGGCACAAGGAGCCGGGCTCAGCCCTCGCTGCACCAGGGGCATCTCCCCACTCCCACCACCCTCGCAGCACCAGGGGCCATTGCCCCAGGGACCCCCCCACATCATAGTGCCGAAGGCAGTTGCCCCAGCCCCCCTGCCTCACATCAGTGGGGGCACCTGCCTTAGTCCCCCCTCCCCTCCACCACCACTGCCCTCACAGCACATGGGGCAGTTACCCCAGTGCCCCCCCCATAGCACCAGGGGAAGCTGCCTCCCCCATAGCACCGGGGGCAATCGTCCCAGCCCCCCACAGCACCAGGGGCAGATCCCCCAGCCTCCCCCCACAGCACCAGGGGCAGCTGCTTTCCCCATAGCACCCGGGGCAATTGCCCCAGCCCCCAGCACCCCTGAGAGCACCGGGCGCGGATCCCCCAGCGCCGGGGGCAACTGCCCCAGCCCGGGGAGCAGCTGCAGCGGGCAGCCCCGCCCCCAGCCCGCGGGCAGCGCTACCTGCGCCGGCGGCCGGTGCCCGGAGCAGCAGCAGCAGCA